GCCCAGACAAACCCGACAACCTAAAATGCACCAATGTAGTGTATCAATTACAATGCAACATCGAAAGCTGCAAACTTCGTCCCATACACTACATTGGTGTGACCACAACGACACTCTCACGACGCCTGACAATGCACTTACGTGACGGGGCACCACTGGACCACATGCGACACGAACACGACATGAATTGACACGATCACAACTGACAGACAGCACTGACATTTTACGGTCGTGCAGTGACAGAAGATGCCATCAAATTTGGGGAAGCATATTCATTAACGAACTCTCTCCGGCCTTAAACAGACAGGCAAATTCTTGCATAACTCTTGAACTACTAGGTGGTGGGCGGTGAGCACTTCTGATGTGACTGTGGCAATAGTGTTCTCATTGTGTCTTTGTAGTGTTCCCATTATGAGTGTTTCTTGCATGTATAAAAATGAAAATAGGATTATGCTTTACTTCAATTAGTTATGCTTCATTTATGTTCTCCGTACCAAAAGATGTTTTCCAACAGTAGTGCACAATTTTTTATCCCTTAAAACTCAAAACTTATTTCTTGTGCCATTTAGTCTTCTCCGACGATGAGATAGGATCTCAAAACGTTAGAATGGAAGAAGCGATGAATATATGAGTCATTTTTGCGAACTATCTTTAATCCAAGCAATGATGCCAAGTCAAAGGCCCAGAAACTAGAACGATGCATCAAAAAGCTCGCCAATGCTGAGCCAACAGTTTTTTAAATCAAACATGTATCAAAGAAACGATTCTGCCAAAATATTCCAACATATATATATATATATATATATATATATATATATATGTATGTATTGTGTGTGTGTTTATGTAGGTGCTATAAAAGTATGATATATGACATATCTAGTGTGCCGCAGGGCGGCCAGGCCCCCCCCCCACGCCCCCACAAGACGTGTTGTTGTGCCGTCGCTGACTGTTACCGTTCGTTGCAAGTGGCCGAAATGAATGTACAGCAAACGTGAGGAACACCATGCGATAGATCGGCATTAGGGAATTTTACGTGCACGTTTGATTTTGAGACCTGACGAGCTTTTGCCGTTCTATGCCGATTGGCTTTTGCCGGGTCAGGAGTCACACAACACGCGCTGCTTAACGCGAACTGCTATTCCAAAAATCCATCCAATCGAAATGCTCGGGCCTTTTTTACAAAAAAGGTCCGATCATTGGTACAATGCGCTGAAAACCGGAATTCGGCTAATTATATGCCAGATACGATTGACATTATGTACTTCATCTATAGTGTGTTCTGGGGTCTTTCTACCCAGTCCCATGTTGATTTACAATTTTATTTACGAACACTTTAGACTGCAACTGACTCCCGATACCAAGTATGTCAGGAGGTGATTGTTTAGTGGAAAGTTCAGGTCATTTTGTGTTGGCACCAGGTCATCTTAACTTGTCATCACAATGACTTCAAAGCGAACTTACACATTTTGTAACAAAATTAGCTTCCCAGCTCCTCCTGTTTCTACATGCTGCATTCGGGGCCTAATCTTGCTGATGATTGGCATGAGACCTTGGGTATGTATTCACTGAAATGTCAGCATTCACTGAAATCAACATCCGACGTTGTGTTGCGTTGGCGTAGTACATTACGTCTGATATGCGCCCCAGGTGGTTGTTAGTATGTGTGTCCTTGATGTATCTAGCCTGTGCTTACGACACCACTTTAGAGATTGCTTTGCTAAGCCTGTTCGCAAGGACATTTGCCATAATTTTATATATTTCGGCCCAACAGTAGGTACTATGGGGCGTTTATGTTTTAAGCGCATCTGATCTCCTTTTTTGGACTAATGTCACGTGACCTCGTTTTTGAGTAAAACACAGCTGTAACCCCGTGGGCTGAGTTACTCTAATGAACGATAAGTTCGTTGACGTCTGTCAAGAGCTGTATGACATGAATTCTCTAAAGAAAGCCAACGTCCGGAACTGTAACAATTTTTTCAGCAGATCTTCAAACGAAATACATCCGTTCCGACCAGATGCTCAGAGCTTTCGGATGGCGTGCTTCATGTTCTAACACGTGCATTGCCGCGTACATCCTGACTGGTTCCAAAGGACCGCTCGCTGACCTGAAAGAGATCCTTGTTGTCGTCTTCCCTGCCGCTGAAGTCGAACGAGATGTAGAGGTCCACGCCGCGCTGAGGCCTCAACAACACTGGGTATGGCGAGTTGAATGTGAGTCCGGCATCCACCAGCAAGATCTTTTCGGTCGTCGTGTCCATCATCTCGTGCATCCGGGCGAAATCCGCCTCTGTGAAGGTTATCTTCCGTTGGCATGGAGGCATTACGCAGCGAGCTCTTATTTTCGTCTAAAAGCAAGGCAACTGAGCAGCATTACTTTAGTAGTGGTGTTGGTGGAATTCAATGAGATTTATCCCGTCGGAGCGGCTACTTCTAATCGAAATTGAGGCTATCGAGAGGGGTTACGAGAAAACTGGTACTTCTGATCAAACCGGACACGTCTGATCTAGCAATACGTGAAAAGTACAAAAGAGTATTCAAAAGGTACATGCTCGCTGTGCGTGAGTCTTCCGGGCAAAGGGGTAATCAGAAATTCAAACGACAGCACTGTAGTTAAAGAGCTGTAGACGGCCGCTCGGAAACGTTATGAAGTAGGAAACCAAGAAGTCCAAAGAGGCTCGTGGAAGTCACTGGAAGCCACAGGCTAGATTATCTACAGCAGCACCGGTCAACCGGCTTACCGTCGTCAGCTTCCTCCTCGGGGCCCGTGAAAGGTGACAGCGGCTGTCGGTTGAGCATGCGCAGCCCGTACAGAGGGTTGAAGATGGCACCCGCCCGGCCGGCCCTGCTGTTGAGCATCGAGCTGGCCATCAGGCCCTGCATCATGCCTTCCCAGATGCCCGTCTTCTTCTCCGTCAGCACCTGGTCCCGGTGCTCCCTGGCGGCCGAACGGCGAGTGAGTGAAGTTCACCAACCATGGGCAAACCCGTCGGACCTAGCTTCTTGGGCTTGCGTTCACATTAACACTTCTTGTACTCTCCTCTGGCCTGCGACCGCCTGGGGGTAAGGGGGGGGGGGGTGTGTGTGGGAATGGTACCCTCCTCAGCTCTCGGGATAGCCTAAGAACTATTCTAGGTAGATCGATGGGGCTGGGCGGAAGGTCTTACTTGCCTAGGGGCAATGGAACTTCTCCCAAACAGGCTTGGGGTCGGTATCCGTTTTGCGTGCTTCTTTGAAATCAACCCCACATGGCTAACAAGATGTTCAGCATGCTGCCGGACTCAGCACCCAGCGCCTCAGCCCCTAGGTCAACTGGCACTTGAGAGCCAACTGCTTACAAAATATCGGAAACCATCAGACAGTCGCACTATCAGGCTCGCTTGCACGAAAAGGCTCCAAGCTAGGGTACAATGAAAAATATCTTTCTGATTTACAGTTCTCATGTTCCCAAGACTGCACGCAATCAGTTGTTACCCATAGCTTAACGTAGCACACGAAAGTTCAGTGGAAGGTGAGCACGGTAAAGCTATTGAACTACGTACATGTTTCCAACATGCATGCCCCTGAAGAAAATTAGGTGTCTGTGTGTCTATCGGTCTGTCGGTCTGCGTCTGTCTGTCCACATGTTTATCGGTCTGTCTGTCTGCGTCTGTCTGTCTGTGTGTCTATTGGTCTGTTTGTCTGTGTGAGCACATTTTTATCCCGACGCACATCACAGAGGGCTGCACAGGCCGCTGAGACATTTATATAAAGATACGGCGGGTTCAACCTTCGTGACTGTCTTCGGCAAAAATTTACGTGCGGTTCGTAGCGGTATCGGCCACGGGGCGTATGTGAGGGGAGCGTACGTCTGGGAGAAAGTCTTCCCCCCTCCGAGCAGGTAATCGTCGCATGCCAGAATGAAACTAAGGACAGCATTTTCATTGCAAAGTTTGGGGAAGCTTTACTTTTGGTTATACTCGCTTCTTCATCCCAGATGTATGTAACAAGTCAAAGTGTACTAACGTGTCTAACTTGACCTCGCATGACCTCTCATTATGATCGGCCACAATCTCGTGTGGTGTCGCTGACCTTGACTGGCAGTCACCAGCAGTTAAACAACAGTCAAACCGCGTGGTGTTATTTACCCTGACTGGCAGTCACCAACAGTCAATCAACAGTCAAACCGTGTGGTGTGATTTACCTCGGCTAGCAGCCACCAACGGTAAATTAACAGCCGAACCGCTCAAGACGAACGCATCAAAGCGATCAAACACAAAGAGCGGGACCACGCATCACCGCGTGCGGAGACAACAATCACCAAACAGGGTTTCACTGACGGCGCCACAAATACTGACCTGACCTAACATCGAATATACCTTGACACCAAAACGTGTCAAATATCTCAGACGTCAAGTGGAGCGCAAATTGTAATAGTTCTACTTAGTACGGCTCGGAACCCATCCCAAAACTCGGAGGCATGTCAGTTGTTCCTCTCCTCTCATGCCGCCGTAGGTTAACTGCCGTAAGACAAGCGGTATGTGCAAAGCGTGTCTTGGAACCATTTGCTTGAATCTCCTTTGCTACCGTCTAACATACTTTTCTTTTTTCCAGAAGTTTGTCTCTTTCTTGTCGCTGGTGGATGCCTCCTCATCGCATCCAGCAGTGCACCCTGCGATCACGCCTTCACATCCGTCGTCAACCTCATCTGCTTCTATGTCCTCATCGTCCATCGTTTCCTCTAAAATCACAAAGGTATGATATGTAAGAGTAAAACATAACGTTGCATAGCGGCAAACATATGTTTTTTTTCCAATACACACCGCTTCTTCATTTTTCCTTACCTGGTTTGGTAAAGCAGTGCATGTCAGTCGGTCACTCCGTGAGCTGAGCAATGAATATGAACTGATTTACAGAGATCGTAAAATAGCCACACCATGGCGACTGCATACAAAATCAAACGTGCCTATAACATAAAAAACATCAAAATGCCACACAGATGCTTTGTGAGCGACGGCTGTGAAAGAGCTGGGAACAACGTGCTCACCCAGGTCACGAAGATTCTGGATTTCGGCGTCTTCGCCAAGAGCCTGTCGTTGGCCGTGTGCAGTTCTGACCAGACGCTTGAACAGGATGGTGAAGGCACTCCCCCAGATGCCTTGCAGGAAATGCAGCGGGTACTCCGGGAAGGGCTTGGCAATTTTCCCCTTGAAGAACCGACTGCCGAACTTTGCAGCGTCCATGAAGGCTCCATACTTGGGGATGCCCACTTCGAAGGGTGTGAATTCCACCCATTCCTAAAGCAAAGGAGTCCTTGATGCGTGCATTAGTGAGATAACATGGTTCCAATGAACAGCCATTAAAAACACACTTTCTTAAGGTGTAAGGTAGCTCTAGCCGCGTTTCACGTCATTGCAGCTGCCTTCAGCGTCTGTTGGGTGCACTGCTCCCGGAGCGTTACCGCGGGGCCCGGTCTGAATTTCCTATTTAGTTCGAATTGTTCCAAACAAGTAAACTAAACGAATATTCTGCTAAGCCTGAACTAGTCCGAATATCATCTCACGTATCAACGCACTTGTTAACGCGTTGTGCAGGTGCGGAGTCTATAGAGATACGTAAAAAACGTCATGTGAAAAAGTGTGATAGTGTGCCAAAAACGAATACTGTGAATACACTGCGTCCAAACAAAGTGCACTGATATAGCACTGTTTTAAAGTCGTTTGCAGGGCGTCAGGAGCTTGACATTCACGTGGATTACATATGAATATGGATCTCAAGCAAATAGAAGTTTAGTAAATATGCTCCTCAACACTTCATCGCTTAAGTACGTCATTGTACCTCGCACAACATTAAAACGAGAGCCAATTGACGGCCGTCATATCTGGAGATCGTGCTCACGAGCGCCAGATATGGACGACTCGACAATTATATTTGCTTTGCCCTTAATCGTCGCATGGCTTATGGAGTGGCAGGATTTGAATGACATTATTTTGGCGTCATGAATGCCTGGGTAACCTTGAAGTGGTCTCCCCGGAATAGTCTGCACATCTTTGTGGGTGTGTAGCTCAGATACTAGAAAGGCTAGGTCCTTAAGAGGGGCAGTTTACAGCCCCGACCGCAAAGATGTACGGACGTCTTGGTGCAAACTATTTCCAAGTTATTCTGGCATGCATGACACCATGGCAACAGCATTCAAATCATGCCACCCCACAGACCATGCTGCGTTCTAGGTCAAGAAGAATGTTACCGCTGTGTCGTTCAGATCTGGCGTTCGTGAGCATCATTTCCAAACAAAGTGGACGTCAATTGGCTCCTAATCAATGTTGAACAAGTTACGCGAGTGTCGATCATGAACCACGTTTTTGTGCTGCAGAATATAAGAAGTTGGACATAATTGCGGGTTATTAAGGACATGAGATTGTAATCGAATAACTTAAGAATAACACTTTTATCGAACACAGCAACATCTTAACGTAAACACAGGCAAACGTCTTAAACTCATGTATACATAAGCAAGATCACCACAAGAAAAGGCCAAAACACGAGCACATTACGATCTTTGGCTCAGTTAGTGATCGTTCTCTGTGGAAGTGTTCTCTGCGTTACATAAACCAAAGACCGATGTTACCGCAGAGGCGTATGGTAATCGTGTGCCATGCTAAGTCATTTTGTACTTGCTCGAGCGTCGGCTGGGACCCATATCAAAAACCAAATGCGAAAAGCACTGCCGAGACCGGAAGAGTGTTAATTTCTATCATTTCTTAAGGGACACATGCAGCTGCCACTGAGGTTTACCTGGAACACCTTGGCGGACACATTTTTCTTGACGTGAAGGCTGGTGAAGAGCGGCATGGGAGCTGCCCCACGCTCGAGCACCCGTCGCATGGTCGTCAGCGTGGCTTCCTTGTTCTCCACGATCGTGTCCCGCAGCAGCATCCCAAAGAAGTCGGTGAAGCTGATCGGCTGGCCCTGCACCGACTTCCCCACCAGGCTGTTCATGTACCTGCCGCGTGGCCAGACCTCGACGCATTAGCCGATGTCTTCGCATTGCGACGCTGAACACGTGCCACCGGCTGTTCTCGTGCACCATGCAAGTGGCCCCACAGCGCGGCGGCAACTGCCAAGTTTGACGTGGCCACTAAGCCTTAAATCACAAAAAAATTCGATACGTGCGGAGAGAAATCCGCGCGGCCAATATCAAATGCAAGGCCGCCAAGGCTGACCAGTTTAAAAACAGCAACAAGTGACGCGCATCCACTGGACAAGCTCGTTGATATCTTACAATGGTGTTCAGTCAGTAATCCTCCTTTAAATCAAAGTGACGGATAGGTTCCGCGACAGCGTTGTCACATCATGCATGTATTGTCTGAGCACGTCAACTCCTGCAGAGCACGTCCTGGCCCTGAGCACGTCCTGGCCCTGATCGGGGAGTCCATATGTCCTTTTCCCCGCCACTTCTGTTTTTTTCAGACATCTCCCTGGCATGTTGCCAGTCGCATCCGCATTCTCGATAGCCCACGAGGCATTCATTGCGCGAACTGTGACGTCAAAGGTTTTTAATTGTTTCCTGGCTTCTGAGATCAGGCTTTGTAGGAGCATTGCACAATAAATCTTCTGCCGGTGCTGATGGCAGGGTGGAGGTGCCCGCAATATTTGGCATGAAGATGTTAAAGACGAACTGGTCATTGAAATAAAAATTTGCACCTCGTTTGAATGACACACAAGCGGTTTGTGAAGCGAAATTTCGCGTTCGTAATTGACGACTCATGCCGTGTGCCCGCGCCATCCGGGATCATGTGTTGCTCCACGGTTAAGAGACGGTCGACAGCCGACCAATCCGCCGGTGACGGGCCCAGGAAATCACCTCGTACCTCTCACGGGAGCCCTACATCATACGCATTCTCCCAAAAACACATGGATGTTATCAAACATGCACGAGGAGCATGCCTGTAACCGCTTCACGCTGCTACGTTGCAATTTTTAGTTAAAGATCTGTGTCTGTCTATCAGCCATCCAAGAACAGATGACCAGGAAGGTTAAGCACACCTGTTGCCCACGGGGCGACAGGGCTCCAGTATAATCAAAGGGGTGAGATCATACCCGGGCGATTGCACAAAGCTAGAACCCGTTTTGGTTGTCATACACGCATGCACGTTAGGGTGTCCCACTTCTCATTTTATGTCTCAGAACTTCCAACTACGATGTTCTCTGTTCGTATCAACAGTTAGGCAATCCTACCAACTTTTAAAATGTTCTAACCGCAGTTAGGTTCCGCAGGTTTCCGCCTTCTAGCCAACGCCGTGCAGGTTATGGATAAATGAAGAGCTTTATACTTTGACACGCGGTGGAGACCATTGGTCTGATAACGATACAAGTCACATTTTTAGAGATAATAGTGTTTCCGGTGTGTGCAACTCCATGTACCGGTACGTATCAAAATTGAGCGTATGTTGTCAAGCATGGCATATGTTAATAAATTACCACATCGTGCAACATTTTTGTCCCGTACGACCCACGTGCAAAATGTCACTTAGGACGGGTTATAAAAACCCTGTTTAGAAGCATCAAGTTTATCATGGTTTGGTGACCATAGTTGAGCGAGGAATGAGCAAGGTAGTCAATCCTAGTTAACATTCGTTCGTCGCACGGTTGTGTTGTTGTGTATTGTTTGTGTTGGTTGTGGTTGTGGTTGTTGGCAGGGTTGTGTTCGTCGCATGGTTGTGTAGCTCTGGTGATGCTAAGCATGCGCGTCCGGTGACGGTCCGCAGCCAGCGCCACATCCCGCACCCGCTTCTCATCAGTTACGGATCGTTGAATTAACTCTCGTGACGCTAAGCATGCGCGTGCGGTGACGGTCCACAGCCAGCGTCACACCCCGCACCCGCTTCTCGTCAGTTACGGATCGTTGAATTAACTCTGGTGTCGCTAAGCATGCGCGTGCGGTGACGGTCCACAGCCAGCGCCACATCCCGCGCCCGCTTCTCATCAGTTACGGATCGTTGCGTTCTCGAATAAACTTCACTCCAACTCTCCACCCTCGTTAACTAAGGCCAGATTACTTCAGTCGTCACGGAGTCGGCAGAAGCTCAAGTTGTCCCAACACCTGCTGGCAGACCTCCCGATTCACCTAAGGCCGGTCCCATCCGACGAAGAGTCACGCATTCGGACTAGGGGCAAGTGGCTGTGATGTTGCGGTGGAGCTTCTATCAGTTACCAGACCAGATGTCCTACCGCGGAAGTTTCCTGCAATGTAAGTACCTGACATGGGTGTCTCGGCTTTGCTGGTGAGCCCGGGGCTCTGTCTCATGTTTACATTGTGATATGGCTGACTGTTGCTGACTCGAGGGATCTGCTCATAACATATAGGATAACCCGAACCTCTACTGGCAGCGGGGTTATGCCAAGAATCTGCCCACCAAGCTGAAGAGGTAGGTGCAGAGTGTGGTGTTCAGCTGGTTCAGGAGCTCATCACACCACGACTGACGAGAGCAAGCAGAAGAATCTGACGTAGGTTGTGGCCTGACAGCTAGACGCGTAAGGCCACGCCCAGAAGAGATTTCACGACCATGTGGTTAATGAAGAAGGTCACCGGGTATTTACTGTATTGCTCAATCTTTACCCACCAATGGTCACCATGCCTTAACAAACACGACTTTCAACTTTTTTTGGATACATATATGGATAACAATGTAGGATAGCAGGGTTCCGGGATAAATAAATAAATATACCTAGAAATATAAATATACCAGGATAAATATACCTAGAAACTTGTTGCAGTGTGGCATTTTACTCAAACATTATTTAATTCAGAACGTCGATTTTCTGCACAACGCTCAATGTATGTAAACTGTTTCACGAAAATTTGTTTGTTAGATTTTCTTTCTAAAGGCATGGCTTTCAGTTGCCTGCTTTGGCTATCTCGTCGTTTTGATACGCAAGGTAAATTTTCATCAATGCGTATCTTTGGAGACGAAAAAAACAATGAAGTTATGCAGAGCTGGCCTGCTGACAGCACTGTAGACTGCGTACTCACATACAGCTTAGGCTACCGAACACATAAATGTTTCTATAACTATGGGTAACACCGTTAAGGGATCATTAGCACATGAGAGCTGGACTTCTGAAAGCATCAAAGACTAAGCTCTAAGATACGACAGCATGGCTACTAATCGCATCACAGTTTGCACCCTGGCACTAGAGAGCTGGGCCCCTGACCGTATCACCTAATTATATCGCACCCTAGACGTGCGCTGGGGTGCGAGAGTTGGAATGCTGACCACATCACAGACTGAACACCGGGAGCTGAAAGCTAGGCTTTTAGCCAAATATGATCGATCATCTGCCGAGATAGGTTAGCTGGGTCACCGGCCGTATCAAACACGGCTGGTCGAGACACGAGAGCTGGGCTTCTTGCCACATCATGCATTGCTCGTCGAGACACGAGAGCTGGGCTTCTTGCCACATCATGTACTGCTGGTCGAGACACGAGTGCTGGGCTTCTTGCCACATCATGCACTGCTGGCGAGGACACGAGAGCTGGGCTTCTTGCCACATCATGCACTGCTGGTGGGGACACGAAAGCTGGGCTTCTTGCCACATCATGTACTGCTGGTCGAGACACGAGTGCTGGGCTTCTTGCCACATCATGCACTGGTGGTCGGGACACGAGAGCTGGGCTTCTTACCGCATCATAGACTGGGCGCCGAGGTGTGAGAGCAGGCCGGCTCCGCTGTGCTTCCGGAAGTAGGCGATCACCTCGTCGGTGGGCAGGTCAGGAAAGCGCGGGTCAGTGTACAGCTGGCTCAGGAACCAGGTGGAGCCAGATAGGCCGGCCAGATACATGCACATCTCGATGATGCCCGAGTCCTGGAGCGCCTTGAAGACGCCGCAGAGGCCGATCATGGCGCGGAAGCCTCCGCCGGACCCCAACATGGCCACAACAGGAATCTGGGAGGAACACAGGGACTCAGTCTCCGGTCCTTCGTTCACCCACTAACTCTAGGCCCTCAGTCAGTCAGAAATCCGCTCTCGTGACGCTTAGTTGGCTCCGCCGTAAACCAGGTAAGCCGCATTTCAGGCTGCTTAGAAGCAAACAGGTGGAACAGGTTGACGTATTAGGGAAGTACAAAGAAAGGAACAGAAGCGAACCGGTTTGCATCAACGATGGTCAAGCTATGCGAAGTTACGCTAGCCGTGTCGTTCTGCTGTCAAGTGTAAACTTAACAGATCATATGTGGACATGGTGTCTGCAATGTCACCGATGCACGCGCTTTAACTACGCACAACGGACAGCAAATGGCGTGCTCGTGGCATAATCACCAATTTTTGCGTAAATTTCCACGTACGGTATATTTGTAAATTTCAAATCGTTCACTGACAGTTTTCGACACCCTGCGTCAAACAGGTTGCGTTTTCGTTATCCAAGACAAAAAGTACGGCGCCAAACCGAGAATGGAATGCCAAGGTCATTGTGGAACGACAGCTGACACTCAAGCACCGCATCCGCCCGCGCTCATTACCGTGTACAACCGATAAACTGGTAGTGCATGGCAGTGTCACTAAAGAACTGGTTCAATTATGCTACGTTTAATGCCTATCAACATCACGGAAAGCGCGTAGCATCAAACCCCTGGTGAAGCTCGTGACACTACTGACACTCAATTCCGGACCTGGTGTCTAATAAGCGAGGCACCGCCACGCAAAAAAACAGTAACCAATGATTACGCAGTGGCTTGCGTAAGGTTCACAACGGCGGCAATGCAACTTTACGTCAGATCAAATTGAATCATTGCCGGCGAACAGCACGCCAGACTAAAAGTCTCCTGGCGCCTTGGGACACGCTCAGCCGCCGTCGGCTGGCGCCGCACGGCAAAATGGCAACCGCCCTGTAGATCGCGGAAGTGGGTATAGCTTATTATGTTCGTACTGATATGCACGAGGTTTTAGCTGGGATAAAGACAGCCTTGTCATTGTGATAAGGTGCGGGCAAGTGCTTCGTATATTTCAGCTTCAAGCCGACGCCGCCTAAGGTAGTTCGTCACTCCTGACCGTTCGACGGTTAAAAGTGTTCCTCCTTGCCCCCAGCACTGAATGGCTGGGTTAAACAAAGTCAAAATGCGCCCGATAGCTCTGGTCAGCTCACCCTGAAATACATCAGCTGGTGCCTGTCGCATAGCTTATGGTATCACGAGTCGCACGGAATGTCTTAAACCCAACACAAATATTGCGGTTCAGGGCCAAAAGCGTTCGTGATGACGGCCGTCTGCTATTTTAATTGGCACCGCAGGAAGGAATGCAGGTGCTCCCTTGTGCTTTCGAATACCACCATAATGCTCATAAGTGATGATTGATGTGACGAATAGGCAATCAAAGCCTTCAGCCATGGCCAGGTCTGATCAGATCAGGTCAAGACAAGTTCATGTCAGGTCATCTGTATGGGTAAAATGGTTCAGCTCTGCCGGCCTATGTTTCGTATCAGTTGACCTAACATGATTCCTGTTGGTGACGTAGTGGGACTTCATACTCAGCATAGCATGATCAACCCTTAAAGATACGGAAGCCAATCGAAAAATTACGCAAAATCATGTGATTAAAGAACTGCACATGCTGCCTGCAGACGAAAAGTGATTCCACTGACAGCATCGTGCCTCTTTGTCAGAGCCGGAAAAACGAAACGTGATGTGACAAAATGATAACCCGACAGCCACAGCGATATTGTGGAACGGCTTAGAATGCTTCTCAAGTTATCAAATGTTCCCTGAGAGACAGCTCTTTTAATTCCTTAGGAAGCTGCAGGTGAAATAGTACGCCAGAACCACACGTCTTTGTGATCGTGAGCTTTGAAGGATCTCCGTTGGCATGTGCGGAACAGATGACCACCACGATATCTACCGTAGCCCTAAATAGCTTTCTGTGCGCTGCGGCATGTTCAAGTACTAGTCAAGCTGGTATATCGGTGCACGTTGGTACACACCTTCATGAATTGACCAGCCATTCACTTCAAATCGCAAAAACTGAACATCGACTACGCTCTAGATACATCATTTGCAGTGCTGAACGGCCCAGTTGACATTAATTAATTCAACCCAATTTAACATTAATTAATTAAAGTTCGACCATCCTCCTTTCATGACCATTCTAAAAAAAGGCAAACCGGTTGACTTTCACCACGAATGACGTCCGATAATTTTAAGCCATCGGTTAGCTTACATCCTCTTCTTTGGTGCAGCGTCAAACGATCGATTCAGTCGGCGTCTTACCTTCAGAGGGGACACCAGTCCAGCCTGCTGGCCGAAGCAGGCGTTCATGGCTTCCATGCAACGCTGACGCCGCTCCCTCCGGAATTGTTTCTCTTCATCACACAACGTCAGGCTGAACCTCAGGTCTGAGCTGTCACTGAGGAAGTGCAAAGCGTCACAATGCTACAACTGCATCTTGAGTCAGGTATTCCACGACGGTGCCATTGAAATAAGCGTAAGGCCAAATGCTATAAAACTGCTTGCAACTCAGTAGAAGGAAAATACAATCGCAAAATTTCTAAAAGGATGTAGTGAATGGATAATCGAAAGAGGCATTGACTTTCGTAGCATGAAGCCCCATTCCCACAGAAATTTGAAGAAACGAATGCAGATACAGGAAAAAAAATCCTTGGAATAACAGCTCATGTCAGGCATCGCTGTCGCGAAGACCATGCCAGTATAGCATTTCCAGTTCAAGTACCATTTTTGCCGAAAGATTGCTGTTAAGTTATGCTGCACTAAGCAAATGAAGTGCATGCGTGCCGTAAAAACTATCTACACGAGTGTGAGCAAACACTCGCAAATAAAGGGGCACCAAATCCTTGAATGAACTTCAGAAGATCCTTACCAAATATATTCGAACACTATCCATCATATCCTATCCGAACAGATACTTCGGACAGTGTGACTTTTACGCTTACTGAAATCGGAATTTCTAGCCATAGCACCTGTTCAGCGTTTCCCGCGCGCCCCACCGTACAACAGACCAACAGTCTTCACCCCTATCACGGTCCACCAGGGCTCTTATTAGGCCGGACCGTGTGCAGTAATGGGGGCAGAAGCACGAGACAATCCATCTTCAAACGCCACGTTTCGGCTTCCTGCCGCTCTGTCAGTGACTAGCATTGGTCGACTGGGAAGTAGTGGCGCACCCATCTCCTAACTCATGTCGCTTATTTTAGTGCGCAGATGCAACTTACTTGGGTAATCTCCGTAGCCTCAAATGCACAAAAGAATTCTGAAAATCGGGGCCAAGATTAGCTGCATTTCAACTATGGTTTAACAGCATGATATTATGCTATGGAGTAAATTACACGTCGTTTAACGAGCCATAGCATTCGATTAAGCGTTGTTCGCCATTGGAAGCAAACACTTGTCATACTGTTTGACTTTTGCTATCAACATGCACAATCGGCTCAGGCGTGCCGCCTTTGTTCGTGACTGACGTCAATAAGCTATAGTTGCGATCCCGGAACAAAAAGCTCAAAACATGGCACTCGTTTCTGACAGGTGCGCTCTTTTATAAATTAGGGTACATAATCACGAACAATGTGCAAGCGCTCGCCATTCATCCGTGAAATGGGTGAGGACTGCGAGGTTTGTTACGCAGTCAGGTGGGGTAAGCGCCGAATTAATCATAATCAAGCTGTTCTATTTTCCATTGATGGCATAACCTGCTGTAAGGCAGAGGTCTCCATGGATACGATGTCCTCCAATCAATCCATCAGCTACCCCTCGGCCTGTGTCCATATCCACCCGCCACTCCCAACCCTAAACAGTGGTACCCACCCATCGCCCATCTGTTAGCATGTTTTACTATAAGTTCTAAGTTACGGAAGAGCTTCAGAAGAATGTACATCCAAATTACTCCACTGCAAATGTCATTGTAAAGGTAGCGTGAGTGTGGCTGATAGTGACCGGAAAAAGTGCAAGCATTAAAATTGTGTGGTATTTCTACCAGGCATTTGGAACACGTAATACCCATATACCCGTACACATGCCCACAATTTCCCAAAATATGCACCCAACCAAACCAATATCCACTTAATAAAGAGACTTATTGGTTTAACCAAATCGTAAGTACTCTACCCTAAAGTGGAGCTGCCACCACATATGAACGATTTTGTGGCGAAGAGTCTAGCGAATATAGCTGAGGGGAACTAACTCACCTCTCCAAACGTGACCTTGATCTGTGCTTCTTCATCCAGTTTCAGGTCTGCTATATCCACTTTGCTAACGCCGATCACGTAATCCACGACTACGTTGGCATCCACCAGGCTGATCTCTGTGATAAGGCAGATAGCAGTGATTGAGACATCTGTGTCTGGGTGGGTCAGTGTAATTTCGCCGAGTGCGTTACCGTTGGAAGCCTTCACGAATGATACTTGCTTCGCCAATTTCATCCGATAGCCGTGAAGATGTGCCCATACCCCATCGCTACCCATTTCAAAGCAATTGCACACACCTGTAACCCAGCCCGATCGCATTTCTTTTAGCGCTTTCGTGATCGAAACGAATGACTCAGCAATTCAGTCAGTTCAGTTGCTGGCGTGAAGTGGGATGCCTGTGCCAATGGTTCAGCAACAACAGCCACGCAGCGGAAGATTGTGTATCGGGTTATGGTGACCTATCGGCTTGATACCGCCACGTGTTCCTTGATATCAGGCTGTACTTTGACCGGATTCAAGAGCGGTCTGCGGCAGATGACTTGTTACGGGCAGTCAGCATCCGTCACATGGGTCGAGCGATCGCGCCGCGTGCTACTGGCATGGGTCGTGCGGCGCGCCAACGTCACATAGGACATGAACTGCATACTTGAAGAGGTAGAAGAGGTAGAATGGCCTAATAACAGACAATGGAAACAAAGCCACGTTGATTAACTCCTTAAACCATTGAACAGAGGAGTCCCTCAGTGAAGAAAGAGGAGCGAGGGAGCAAAATAACGACAGAAAACTTATTACAAGAAGAAGGCAGCCGGGGGCTTTTCGTTTTCCTTTTAAATAATCATTTGTAACGACACCAGTATGATACGATCTCTGACGATTATTTTTGCTGACACCAATTAAAAGAACCGTGCTTACTGAAAAAATTACTCTCAACAAAATTTAATGAAAACAGCAGAAACATCTCGTTCCGCTAACAAAAGTAGGTTTTAAGTGACAGCAAATACAAGTAATCAGAAATATTATAAATCTTCAAGATGCCTTCAGTTTCAACGATAGGAACCAAAACGTAACCATAGCATACGCAGCTCCCAGCCGCAATCGTCGCCCATTGGACCAGTTTTAAGGCGAGAGCTTTGCCGTATTAGGACAGAGTAAAGAGGAAACCCCTAGCAAAAAGCTGGTACAAAAATCCACTCGGGGTATAAGCCGTAAGGCTTTCCACGTTACTTATAACATGACACGTGTGTGCCCCTACCCTTTAAGGTCAAACCTACATCATACGATCATGGCACGGGAAGCCGGAGAAGACTGTGTCCATTGTCTTTTCGAAACCTGCAGACGATGCGAGATAATGCTGGTTTTTATCAAAAAGGGAACGGAAAAAGCAACAAAACGCTGACACTGAAAGCGTTCAGATTTTGTCGCACTTTTGAACATGGGGAGATTCCTAGGCCGTGCCCATGGAAGATGCATTACCTCCGTGGACAAAGCTTGGCACACCAAACTGCGATGAAATATCGTCAGCAAGGTATTGCGAGGCACACGAAACACATGTACCACTTCAATATGACAGTATCGCTGCAAAATAACCGGCATGTAATGATGTCTGGTGAGGGTGATTTCTCGTAATAGAAACACACGTCCAGTATGTCTTTCAATCTGATTACATCCATAGGTTACGAACATAAGTAACGTCTAAGTATATCCCCTAATGATATTCGCAACCTTGCTAAAGGTGTTTCTTCATGTGTGATAGTTTCACTACATCTTGGTCATCTGCTGGTTCCGGCGCGCATATTGCCCTGAGACAAATTGGTGAAAAATTCACTCCGAAATTCCTGATTTAGGCGACCAAAAACTGCGAACAGTTCGGTATGCAGAGGCACAGGAAACTATTTTGGGAAAGGATAAATCTTGAGTGGCTTATGCTGGGAAACTCCAGCATGCCTTAACTCTGCAGCACACTTGCCTTTTATGTAATTCACCCAGGAACTTTATAGTTGCCTTTGCTATCCGTGCAGTTAGTTGTTGGACTTAATAGCGCGTAACCCGTACTGGCATCTGCGCCTCCCATACGACCGCGGGATTCTCGCACAAGTTGACCTGACCAACGCTATTTGCTCTTCACATCGTAGGGATCGATTTCGAGTCAGCTTACAAACGGTCATTAACATAGCAAAGAAGATAGGCGATATGCTGCTCACAACCCATGTCACAACATGGCCCTGGCTTTGCGGCAGTAGCCGTCCATGCCCTTATGTGACTGGTATAAGATATTGCGATTTATCTAAAACTGAATATTTTGCATTTTGCGTTGCCTGGTAAAATGAACATTAAAGTTGCCTTACGCAACATATTTAGAAGGCAATGATGGCTTTTAAGTCTATGGATTTGCATTGCAAATCTTTAACTATCTCCATGTCCACAGTGCTCTCTATAGACATCTAGCTACGAGCATTTATATAATTTTTGGCCGTCAGAGCTACTGTCATGCATATAAAAATGCATCAAATTATTCCGGGTGAATATTAGCAAGGTGAATTTTCATGCTGCGAATTAAGATTGCACAATATGAGCAGTATTTCCATGAGCATATGTCGGGGTCAAAAAAGCGCATTTCATATATTTAATATTTTGGGGGAGTATAGCCAAAGGCTTCACCAATGGCCAAAGAAATTACTCACACGTGGCTTGGTGTGGTGCACAACGAATTCATGTGAGTGCTTACGCATGGCATGTTACGTATTTTTCTAATTGCAGCGTCCTTGCGTAAGTTTTTATGCAATCAAACTGATGTCTTCCTTCCCTCCAACGATCTAACCACTGATCAAGCCATACATGTTTTGCATGGCGAACTGATGGCATGTCACTTCATGCCTGAAAGATGTACGCGAGTCCACACGCAGTCACAAGAGCGGGTGGTAGTACGGACTGTTCCTGCGAAATTCGTACGTCTTTGGGGCAACCTCGTTCAGCTCGAGGCATAGGCTACCCTGGAGTGGTACGTTCGTTGTCCCTGCTGCGTGACGTCATTGGTGAGCTGTTGCAATGAAATGCGAGGAGCCTGAGCAGTGCCGGGCACATTTCGTGGGCCAGCACTTCGTGGGCATACCTGGTAGTTATGCTGCACTCCTGTTGATATTTGTGCGTCGCAAATGTACTCATCGATATACAATATACTCAGTATACTAAAATTATGTACTATACAAGAATTTGACGCGGTGCGTTTCTTCTCCTCTGAGACTAGCACATACCACAGGCCTTGAAGAGACGCGTGATGCTCATCTTCTCCCACACTTGCTATTCATGGTGAGATATTCATCTGAAGGCCCAAATCGTGGAGTACAAAGCGGGTAGGACCCGTATTCTTCCCCACCTTTATGAAGGGTTTGGTATTGAACACGCCGTGATGCACTGGGCAAAGTGACTTAAAAGTAGGCTTGGCCCTCCCAGCCTGCGGTCCATTCCTGTGACCACGGCCTTAGTCACCAGTCTATTGCTGGCACACGCTCATGCTCGAGCAAAAGACGCCAAAATTCTGACAATGGCCAGCCAAATAGAACACCTGAACGATTTGGAAGAGACTCAGACCGCTGCAACGATGGTATTTGCTTTCAAAATAACTGAGTAGGCCGATAAGCCAGAAAGTAACCTTCAGCTTTATACGGGTAGTGATGTCCTAAAGCTTGCAATTTAATGCAGGCCGAAAATGCCTGGATGCATCTTTTCACCACAGCCGTAGAACCGTTGTGTCTGCGTGTGCAGGGCGCGACGCGAACACCAGGAACCCGTTGACAACGGAGTGTTCAACGAATTCATACGCTTTGGGATGTTCCACAGACAACTAGGCTATTGAAACATGGATTACAACTAATACCATTGACCTTGGGTCCGTTATGAAGGTGAAATCAAGGTCAAACCTAAACCGCCTTATCACTGGTTCATTTGATTTATGAGATAGTCTTTACGCTCAATTCGAACTCCGGAATCCCAAAGACGACAATATATATTTGTCTTCATGAGGGTAGGGGTAAACGCCGACCTAGAATAGCATCCACATAGAATACTTTACCTTTCTCTCTGATGAGCGTGCCTCCTAGAGTACAACTTGTCGTCAACTGTAGATTTCAATATGAATACAATTCGAAGGTTTTGGTTTCTAACTGACTTTTGCTTTCTGAAGGCAAAATATCGTCACTGCTCTGATATTTATAAGATGTACCTAGTCTAAAGCTGGTGGTGCAAAGAAATGTGAAAGCACTTAAGACACTGATGTGGAATTCGACCTTGTTTGACCTTATTTGCGGTCAAGTATGTCTGTGTCAAGCCAAATCACTTTCGCAAAAATGAGTGCGTGGTGAGCGAAAAAAGGTCGCAAAAATGCACATAGGCCTGACAAGGACGATGCAAATTTCGCCACCGCCGGCCGACGGCCCGACACGCGTGCACTCCCGGAGCCATGTCTCAAAAACGACGAGACGCAACGGCACGGAACTTGCACAGCAAGATATACAATCACATCGGCCAGCGTATGACATCAAATCGGTGGTGCAAATGGCAGGTGGCACGCGCACGCGAGTTGAAAAGGTGAAATTGACCGTTTTGACTGTTCTTTACGTTTTGGGTTATTTTATTTATTTATATTTATTATATTTTACGTTATTTACATATATATATATATATATATATATATATATATATAGTGTGTGTGTGTGTGTGTGTGTGTGTGTGTGTGTGTGTGTGTGTGTGTGTGTGTGTGTGTGTGTGTGTGTGTGTGTGTGTGTGTGTGTGTGTGTGTGTGTGTGTGTGTGTGTGTGTGTGTGTGTGTGTGTGTGTGTGTGTGTGTGTGTGTGTGTGTGTGTGTGTGTATATATATATATATATATATATATATATATATACACGCACGCTCACACGCACGCAGGCAGCTCAAAAGCATACACACAAGTACACACGCCTGCGCATGCATACACGGCTCGGACCATTCCGTGCCCAGAGTGGACGTCGAACTAGTGGGTGGCGCCTTAGTGCACGGCCAAACCTCGCACGAGCGTGTCGTGTCAGGTCACGGAGAGGGAGTTACACTGGGTGGCAGCTTAGCAACAGAATCACCTCCTTTCTATCTCGTCGCGCGACTTAGCGACGAACAAATGTTCATCCTGCCGTGCATGTTGGTCGATCTCGGGTTTTAGACACCTCCCTGAACTCACGGGCCAGCGCATCTCGCTCACCGCAATGTGGCAGCTTGGTGGTGTAGCAATTTGGTGGAGTGGTCCTTCGGGATCTGGCCTCTTTTCTTGCCAGCGAGCCATATGCTTGCTAGTTACACTAGAAGGTGTCTGATCGATACCCCAGCCAAATGCTTGTGAGTTACACTAGAAGGCGTCTGATCGCCACGCCACCCATACACGTACGGAGAGGCGTCTGATCGCTGTGCCTGCCAATGGCTCGCTCCCACTGCTCGATCCGCCTTCATCAAAATGCATGCGGCGGCGCCCCAGAACGCTTTCGTACCGATTTCACTGTAGTTGCGCGCGCCACGTCCCCAGTCGATCCCGCTGTGGCCGCGCGCACAACGCCTCTGGACCTTCCCTCCCCGGGCGCACGCTCAGGCTGTCACTGTGCGTTGGCGCAGCCGACGCTGGTGAGCGCGAGCCGCGTGGCAAGGGCTCAATCAACAGTGGAGATTTGGAATGTGACGAAACCATGGGGGTCTTGTAAATCATAGCCCTGCATGAGATCCCGAGATGCCTATGGTTCGTGGCAGAATGATGTTTTACCTGACGATCGGCACTGACGGCGGCGAAGGCCCGATCGGCTGCCAGCTTTTGGATGAAATAAGGTAGTGGGCCATGGGCTCGGCTTGATGTAGCGTAATAAGAAGGGCTGTTCTCCATCATATATCCGATACGGTCTCCAAATCTATGACTGGTGCCACCGTGAGCGATACCGGCTGATGGCAGCGCTGAGCAGAATGCATGATGCGAGTGCGGGAGCGGCTGCCCGGCGCCGCCGGCCGACGGTCTTGGTACCGCCGCACCTGTTCGCTAGTTCGGCGACGCTGTGTGCCGCCATGCCGTTAGGCAAACAGCCGGCCGGCGTTCACCACCTCCGGCCTCCCTGCCTCTGCAAAGCTCAACCAACCCCGAAGTTACGAAAAGCTACTGCGATGGTTGTCAATGAGCGCAGAACTTTCTATGTGTTTGCCAGGAGATCGCGGGGTGCCACTTCAATGCAACCTAGGTGTGGTTGCCCGTAGCCGTGGGCAGGGAAGGTAAACCAGGGCAGAGAACATAGCGACATAACTTCTTTCCTCGTTAATTCCTAAAGTTTATACTTTTCTCTCTCCTGAAGTTGAGCAGACTGCACCCCAGTGACAACATAGTTAAACATTATGTGTGCTAATTAATGACGCTTTGGCCCATTCTCTCGCCGGCGGATCGCTAATTTGGTCACAGCTAGTCTGCGAAAGACGGATGGGCAGACGGACACGCCGTATCAGTGCAAAAATGGGCGTAAGCCACTGCAGTATAATAAGCCTCTTTAACCATTCATTACAGTTCGAAGGGAATGCCACAGCTCCTAAAAGTGAAAATCAAAACTTTTTCGGTGTGTCAATGTTTCTCTGTCTCTGTCTCTGTCTCTGTCTCTGTCTCTGTCTCTGTCTCCGTCTCCGTCTCCGTCTCCGTCTCCGTCTCCGTCTGTCTCTGTCTCTGTCTCTGTCTCCGTCTCCGTCTCCGTCTCCGTCTCCGTCTCCGTCTCCGTCTCTGTCTCTCTGTCTCTCTGTCTCTCTGTCTCTCTGTCTGTCTGTCTCTCTCTCTCTCTCTCTCTCTCTCTCTCTCTCTCTCTCTCTCTCTTCTCTCTCTCTCTCTCTCTCTCTCTCTTCTCTCTCTCTCTCTCTCTCTCTCTCTCTCCCTCTCTCTCTCTCTCTCTCTCTCTCTCTCTCTCTCTCTCTCTCTCTCTCTCTCTCTCTCTCTCTCTCTCTCTCTCTCTCTCTCTCTCTCTCTCTCTCTTTGTCCTTATTCCGTCCGCTGACTTAACCTGGTTACGCAGAAAGCAATAACCCGTCACCGCGCTCAACAGGTTATTGACCGGTGCCTAACGGTGCACGCTCACGTGATAGCTCCGCCCGCCCGGCGACAAAGGTGCAGCGTCACTGCCGTCCCGTCTGCTGGAGGGCAGTATAACTCGTCTCGAGCACGACGTGGGGCGACCACCACAGGCAAAACGCGATAGCCATGCCAGAACACACACTCCAGGGCGCGGTTTATTGGGACCACCTCGTCATTGGTAATGCACAGTCTTTTTCACTGCATGCACGACAGATACGATAAAGAGAACCTATTTCTAAAGAAATTCCTGCTCAAATATATATTTACAGATAGTGACCAGTGCGGTAGTTGGCCTCAAAATGAGACTATTAGGCATGTGCTCTGGCCCAAGAATTCATTGCGCCTTAGGCATCTTACCACATAACTTCAAAATGCAAAATTTAGTAAGATGTGGGAGCCTCCTCCGAATTTACAAATAGGTAGCATATATATATATACATATATATGTATATATATATATATATATATATATATATACGCAATTGCTTTCGGTACAGTTAGGAATTTTGCCATCGACGCGTATAGGAAGGGCGACAAGGGACCAAGTCGTCGGACAGGCCGGTCAGGCCGAGTCTCCGGAGTCCGCCGGCCGTGGAGACCGTAAGGCGTAAGCACACGTCACGCCGGACGTTCTCCATGTGCTGAGGGGCTTCACTGCCCCAATAGGCGTGCTGTCTACCTCCAGGCCTCTGAGTGCCGCGAGGTAGGGCTTTTTGTAGAGCTCACTCCGGCAGGCGGGAGGCGAGGGCGCAGAAGCGACGGAGACGACGTCTCTGTACTGGAAGGGGTGCTGCCTAAAGCACGTGCGCAGCATTGGGAAGCTGCGGGCGGTAGGCACAGCTGAAGGAGCGGTGAGCCCGTCCAAATAGGGACCCATCACCCTGGAGGCTAAGCGAGGGACTGACTCATCGTCCAGCTTTGGTATACCGGGTGCCAGCCCGGTAGTCGCATCGGCGCTAAGCTGATCACACAGTGACCTGAAATGTTTTAAATAAGGCCTAACCGTGGTTTTATTGAATGTTTCAAATGCATTGAATACATTTAGCTTACATCAAATCTAATTCAACGCCAAACAGTTGTCTCCGTGCCGGTCTGAGACCTGGGGGTCCATTTCCCGAACAAGAACAAGGCCAGGGCTTGCGATTTGCATTAGTCGGGGTCTCTAAAATAACGAAAGGGTCCCTTATCATTCAGGGACCCACAGCGACGAACAGAGGGCCCTGTCTCAGCAAGTACCCCTGGGTCCACCGTGAGCCGTGTTCGAGGGACCCAAAGGCGGAAAACAGGTGTATGAAGCGTCGCTAGGGATCAAATCGGCAAGAGGACCCGAGTCGTCCAGGGGAACAGTTGCTAAACAGGGGCAGCAACTAGACTCCGGATGTCAGCGAGCCTCTGGCCTTGGTCGGGCCCTCTAACAAGAATATCAGATATGAGAGCCTATGGTACCAGTCCGAAATGAGGCAATGGAAGGGCCCTGTTTCAATCAGGACCCCAGTACTGAAAGGAGTGCTCTTCATCCCATTTCAGCTAAGGGGTCCGTTAAGCCGAACTGGAGTACATGTGCGAATTATTTGACCTCACGCTGCGGGCGACAAGGAATTTTGTTGCATCGGTAAAAGCTCCTATATCAATTTTGGCCAGGGTGGCTGGCTCTTCCGCGACAGGAAGGGGAACGCTGCATGATGCATCCCTTTAAGGGCCTTCGGGTCGACCAGGAGATCCCGCTCCCGTGTTGCCAGAATGACAGTCGGAGGCCACCGCGCGCTGGGATGGAGTGGCCGTTCAGCCCTCAGCCGGGAACGATAATGTTTTCGTTTAGCGTTCTACCCATCGAGCCCCTTACCAGCAAAAAGGTAAGGTGTCACTCGGCCTACGGAGACTGCAACGCTGCTGCCGTCCAAAGGTAAAAGCTCATACGGTCGTTTTTAGTCATTTTGCGTTTGTTATATCATTTGATTCATCTTCTCAAGCTTAATTCGGTTATTAAATCCATTGCTTGATATTTCCACACGCTGTTAGCTTTTTAGCTCTATGTTTGTGAAAATCTTAACCAATGGTTTAAATAAGCGATTTCGGCTTGAGCATCTGAATCAGATGACATCCCGCAGAACCCTGTGACTGTCTTCGTGCACACCCCTTGCGAGGGGTGCTGAGCGGACCTGCATGGCCGGCCACCAGCCAGCGCATCGATGGGACTGGCCAGTCGCCGGTCGTCTTACTCTTGAGCCAGACTTACCCCTTGACCCTTGACCCTTGAGCCAGACTTACACCCACCTCCGATGTAGTTGAGGTGAAATGACTTTACATACAGTTCTGGCGAGCTCTTTGTAGTTGAAATGTACCATGGAAATGGAAGGCTTGAATGACTCATGCGAACATTACAGCCTCATGTGCGGTGATAGCTACTTAGTCAAATTTATCGCAAAGTATTTTTGCAGTGGCTTCCAAAAGGGTCATCCTCTTCGAGACCCAATGCTTATATCGTTGGCAGCATGCACTGGAATGCCGAAATTACGAGCTATTGCTGGACCCCTGGGAGCCACAGCAGGCCGCTGCAGTTGGCGACTGTAGGAGAGCTCACCTAGTACCCTGTTGGTCTCGGCGTCGTACAGGAACTGGAACTCCTGGTTCCAGACGGGATCGGTGCAGTTGTCGACACACCGCGTGCGCTGCGATCCGCCGTTGGTACCCGGTACAGACAGCACCACATACGGGTCGGGCGTGTCCACTGTAACCGACGCAAAGTCACGGTCATACTCGACGAGCAAATTGAGGATACAAGTGGGGATGAGGGGAGAATAAGTGAGAGGGGAGAGGAGAGACCACGGGGAGACGGAAAACACGGTGGGACAACGTGGTGTGACAAATGGGCGAAAAAACGCCGGAGCGAAATAGCCCAATTCCCAGGCAATAGATGGGTCTGATGATTGCATAATAAGGGACGCTGCCATAGGGTGGAGGTCACGGTGGCCATCCCCCTCCCTTCCCCCAGCGAAACTGCCCACACCAGGTATTCAGAAATTTGGCAGGAATATGGCACAGCTAAAGCATTTGTGCTAGAAGAGAAAATACGTTGTCCTCCGCGTTAAAGGGCAGGTTCCACATTTGAAGATATTGAGATAAGCATCAGATATTGTGGGTAAAGCTTACTTGTAACTATTGGTAAGCTTTCAAGGTTCAAAAACGACCGTAAGTAGCAAAATTTCAAGGTTTGTAAAAATGTACCCCATTACGTCATTAATTGATGGCGTCATGGAATGATTTTGCGACGACAGCAATACCTGGCAGCATCTGGCAGCCAGACCTAAAGAATACCTCGAAACGCACGGAAGCTGGCGCCAACCGGTCATTCTCGTCGTGGGCGCTGTGTTACGCGGCGGATAAATGAATGGCTTGTTTGTGGATTTTTTTGCCTTGGTACTGGTCGTAAGAGAAGCTTTGGCGGGCTGTTTGACATACGTAACGTAGCGATCGCCAGCTTTTAGGACAGATTATTCATATCAAGGCACGATATGCCGTGAAGACCATCATACAGCGACATGAATCTCTTGCCGAAACCTGCCAAGGACTGTTGAGGATGTCAATACCGTATTGTCGACTTATCTTTGCCTGCAGTGCGGTAGTCCTGACATTGATGTCATGTGATGTACACTGGAATTACTTTCTTGATCATTTGTCACTAGAAATGCAGCTGCATGCAAAAATTAACAAAATCTGTAATATTGCTATGAATTCATCGCCAAAGCATTGCCATTTGTATGGTAAGGATGGTAAGGTTGAGCAACCAAGAATGTTTTTTTGCTTAGGATTTTTTATGCAATTATTAGTCAACCCTGATATAACCATCCTTGCGCAACAGCATTCCCGCTGGTGATAGTCCTCTGACGTTCTTAAGCCAGTTGTTTCCAGTCATTCATAAAATAAGCTGTTATCTCATAGGCTTGACATAGATTAGTCAACCAATGCGGTACATTGTGTATGGCACTGGTCAACAGTGTCATCGTGGCACTACCTCAGTGCTGAGCATAATGAACAATGGCAACGTTTTTGCACTGCAATCCCCGCTGATCTCATAATAAATTGCATCATGAAAAGATGGGTTAAGCGTGCATTCCTGTATTAGCTTCGCATATGACGCATGATTGACCAAAAACAAATGATGCATTACACAAATCACTTTCAGCAAAGCACACAACCAACAAGTGACTCCACTTGCCCAACCTGTTCTGGGAATCCACAAAACATAGATAACAAAGATGCAAGCACGTCTACTGCTTCCACAGCCATGCAACACACTACAGCCATTAGGCTGCTTCACCCAAAAATAAAATATTGTTCACACGGGAAATAACACATGTTTAACAATAAAATGCATGTAGTTAAATGATACTACAAACTTGCTGACCTTGCCCAATGCTAGAGACATGACAAGTGCATGTAGTTATGTTTAGATGGGAGAAATGCAAGGAAGTGAAGAAGTTGCCGGTGCACACAAGGCTCATGATAAAAATATTAAGCGCTCTCCAAGAAGCCAACAGCAATGCTTCTCCACCTTTCTCAGCACCCAGCATCTCACACAAGTTGCAGTGACTATGGCAATGATGACTCACAAGCCATGCTTGCCCGCACACAAAATTTGTTAAGACAGTATGTGCACCCATAATAATACAGCTCTATATTTTCAGAAGTCTTCAGTAAAAGACAACTTTGCACAGCTGTGTCATGCAAGCTTATACCAAGCGCGTGCATAAATGAGCTGTACTGACCTGTCCCTACTGCCTAAATGAATTGCTCATATAATGGCACGCAATGGATTAATTGCATACTGTAATACCTCAATAGGTTCAAAATGTTGGCAAGATCATAATGAAGTAGCAAATCGCCTTTGAGCGACCCTGCAGCACTGGTGCTAGCGTTTCCTTTAGCTTGCTGACATTTGCTGACCTCGTCATTTTCAAACACAAACCTTAAGAGAGAGATAGATTAATACATCACATTTTATTGGGAGCCATTTAAAAATGAAAAACAAAACGATGTTCTCTCTCAAAAGTATAAATCTCGTAAGTTGTTCATTGCATTAGCGAGTAACATTATTCACATAGATAAGACAGTAGTACTAGCCATATTCCTCGGAAAAAAACAGGAAAATGGAATATAGTTGGGTCGATGTTTCGGCAATATGCTTTTATCGAAACAATAGCCCAAGAAAACTTCACTTCAGCTATTGTTTCGATAAAGGCATGCTGCCGAAATATCAACCCAACTATATCTCTATTCTCCTGGTTTTTGTCCGAGGAATATGGCTAAAACTACTGTCTGATCTAAGTATAAATCTCGCATTCACACTCCCCATAACATCAAGATCAATACAAGTCACTGACACGCACCACCATTGATCACACCCATTTCAAACGCCTGATTCGCACTCTAATGCCAATGATCCCATGCTTGAACCAACTCACAAGACTATCAAATTGCAGGTTTCTTGCAATTTCGGCACAGGATTTCGAATATAACACCGCATTTCACCACGAGCTCCCTTCAAAATAAAGTCCCCACACAAGTGTATAGTAACAGAACACAAGAGGATGCACTTGTCAGACACAATGTTTTTGGTCAAGGTTTGAATTTGTCCTACGATGGGTGTAAAATATGTAGTAAAACATAACTAAAATTACTGTAATATTTCCCTAATTGTATAATGTATTACTAGCCCATCAGCACATGCAAGGTACTTTGCTCCGGTGCACACGGCGCTAACCGAACTGTCTGTAAGAATTACGTCAGTAGAAGAAGAAAAAAAACGCCAGCAGGAGAAAAAAGATAGATCTGGCGTCGCGTCTTCTTTTTGAACATTCAGTACAGTGCCGTCCTTGTTTTGGTGCTGTATTTTTTGTAGACAGTGGCGTTCTCTTGTCATAACATTGAACTATGGCCTAGACATAAGGAAAAACGCCTGTTGGCAACGAATGTCGCACAACCCGAAAGTGCTCACGCTTGCGTTCGCGATACGCATTCAGTAGCGAAATCTTACTAACAGCTATGCTGTGTTTATCGTAAGAAAGAACAGAATTAAAGCTGGTCAATCAATTCGTCACGAGCATCACGCCGAAATTTTTTCACTCAACAAAATTGGTCGGAAGGCCTGCAGGACAGCGCTGCGGATCTCTCGAAACAATAGCAGTTTTGGATGTTTGTATTGCTTGCAGCAACTTCATGTTCATATGGTTGGTCGAAATATATATATATATATATATATATATATATATATATATATATATATATATCGGCACTGGGGTTATTTTAGTTGGCAATTATTTTTACGTTCTAAATTCATTGCCTACCTTTGAGGCGAGTTGTGCTATCCTTTCATTCGGTAATTGCTCCAAACTGGTGCTGTTTCATGAATAACATGGGAAAATCCCAAACACAGAAAATTAATTCGCTCAGTTTTATTGAAGGTATTCAACAAAACGCTGAACATTCAGCTGCAGATTTATGCACAATACACCCAGCTCAAACACCCCACACGTAACTACATGCCACATCCACGTAAACGCTACGAAGTCAGTTGAAAAGAACGAAACGGAAACACTTCTCATGATCGATGTGTCATACTGTTCTCACTCATCGTTGTCGCTGCCGGAGTCGGTGCCGAGTCGCTGCTATCATCGGTTGTTACGACAACCGGTGGGAGATCTTCTAGCAGCCCGCCATTCGTCCAGTACTGCTGCTCCAGCCTTTTGACGTGCTCGCAGCACTTACTCCAGTCCTCTGGAGAGACAGCTGCGACACCTGCCTCCACCAGCCGTTCCACCTCCTCCATCCGGCCTGTCAAGTTCCCCCGTCTTATCACGCACTTCATCTGTGCCCACACTTACTCTATCGGGTTCAAGTCGCAGTGATACGGCGGCAGGCGAACGATCCGATGACCATGATCTCTATCAAGGTTGTCCAGAAAATATTCCTTCTTCCGGTTCTGGGACTTGACTAGCTCCAGCAGCTCCACCTTCCGCATGTCTTCGTCGATGGTCACACCTGCCTGCTGCAACCACTCCTGGATTTCCGCTTGACGCCAGCTAGAAGTTGGCATTTTTTGGCACAAACGGGAATGATATGAGGCATTATCTATGATGATCACAGAGTGCTCTGGCACGTTTGGAAGCAGGCACTCGGTGAACCACTTCTCGTAGCAGTCGGCGCTCATCGACGTATGGTAGTCGGCGTTCTTGCCATCGGTCCTGAGGTGGAGAAGTGTGCCCGGTATAAATCCTTCTGAATAGCCGGCATGGACTATGATAATACGTTTTCCTTTTCCAGTGGCGTTCTTCCGTTCGTTGATTTGACTACCGTCCAGCCACGCCAAGTCCTCCATATCGTACTGATTATGCCATGTCTCATCGGTATAAATGATTTTGCTATCGGGAACTTCTCTACGCAGCCTCCTCATCTCCCGCAAGGACTGGCATCTCGTTGCTGCATATGAGGTTTCTCGATCAGGATCTTGCGCTTGTCGATCCTTCGGTACTTAAATCCGTTCGCGAGTAGGTGTTTTCTTGCGGTGGATCTAGACATGGTGACGCCGAGCTGTTCGTGAAGAACATTCGTGATGGTGTCCAGAGTAACATGTTTTCCGTCGATGTACATTTGGTGTACCATTCTCCTCACCGCGCAAACATCGAACGGATCTAGATCCACCCTTGGTCTTGCTGCAGCTGGTCGGGATCG